GCACATGACTTTTCCCCTGGCTGACACATCCTCCTCTGCCATTTTGCTTTACCTAGAAACCAGTTCATCCTCAGACATCGGTTCAGTCATCATTTCCTCAGGAAATCCTTCCCTGATATTCCAGACTAAGCCAGATCACCTTATACATTTTAATAAAGTGTATTGGTAGCATAAGTAAGTTTGTATTTTTCTAAGCTTATTTGAAACATATTATTTCTTTTACTAGTCATACACTTCAACATATCCATGGCATTTGTTTAGTGCCTAATAAGTTGTAGGAGTTTTACATATTCTTTCAATATACGACTTTACAAATGAATGAATGAAATGAGCCAAAATAAATTTAATTGATAGTAAGAATTAGGACATTTGAATTGTAAGATAAATGTATTCTGCCTACTTCCAAGAAAATATTTTAAACCATTGATTACAGTTATCTAAAAATCTCAAATTGATTATTGCTATTATTAATAAACTCTATTTAGGGTCAGTTTTTGTCTATGGCCAATAATGAGCTCCTCAGCTTTTACCATGCTTATTACTAATTAATTAAACTAATTTTTAACATATTGTATACCAGACATTGCTCTAAGCACTGGGAAAGCAGTTTAAAAAAAAAAAAAGTTCCTGCCATCATGGAACTTACCTTCTATATTGTAAAGGGAAAATAATATAATAAATAAAATAAATAAGTAAAACACATTGCATGATGGGAGATAAGAAGAACAAAACTAAGTAAAAATGGCAGTCTAAAATATGGTGAGTTCCTTCTCTGGGAGAATCACATTTGAGTAACTATCTGAAGGATACAAGGCAGTGGCATAGAGAGGAGTTTTTATGGTAGAGAAAAGTGAAAATACCTTTTTAAATGAACGAGTGTGCCTTGCATGTTTAGAAACAGCAAAGAAGAGGTGAAGGGAGATCCTTCAATGCCAACTGTAACCAGACAAAACCACATTTCAGATGCTATCTACCTGCAAAAGGTCTCATATTTTACCCACCTTTTCTCATGGGAGTTACACTGGGAGTGATAAGGTAATTAAAAATCCTGCTATGTAGAGAAATGTGTCTTTACTTCAAACTACTTTGTTACTAATCTTTCAGCTTCACCCTAGATACAGAATTTAGAATGAGGGTATATATTTGTAACTTAGTCATAACGCTTTGGAAAAGATAACTCAATATACCTTTCTCTAAATGTATTATTCTCATCTGGTCTTTGTCTAGGTTATAATGTTAAATCCCCATGCACATTCCTTGATGAAGAGAAATTCTCTAATACATTGGAAGATTTCTCAACATAATTAGATTACTGCTGTTGATTGCTGATGAAGAGCTGCTAGTTAGATTTTTAAATGGATGTTTTCATGCTTTAAGTTGACTAGCAATGTCAAGTCATTGATCCGATGTTGGCTTTCCCCTCTATTTCTCCTTCAAAAATAATCCAGCACTTCTACAATATTAAAGCAATAAAATTGCTGATTACCCAAAGGAATGCCATGAAAATAGATCATTAAGCACAGTTCAATATGAAATACCTTATATCTGTTCCTATATTTCTACTTTAATAAAATGATATCTACGTATCTTAAGACATATTCAGAGGCAGTTAAAATGTTACGGTCTTGACTCTAGTTTCATAAAAATAACTCTCAATTTTCTCCTTCTTTTCAACTCATATGAATGAATCATTGAAAGAATTCTTTTAAAAAGTTAGAATCAATTAATCTGGTATTACCCTGGTATTGTTTTTAATCAGTATTAGTACTCTGTGGTTAGTAATATGAAGTCAAATTATTAAAGGAATATATCTGTCAGACGTCTGTCACAGTCTGAATCTACTTATTATCTAAACCACATATTTGGTTATAAATGACTCAAAATATTTTGAATTGAATAGTCATAAAATCATTTTCTCTTCCTTGTATCACATTTGAATTCATTTACTTTTATTTACAATTTAAAACAATTTCAGATGAGAGTAGTATCTCCAAGTTTAAAGAGCTCAATTTTGAGGCTGTAAAAATCCAATGGGAAATAGCAAATATTTTTATTTATGGCATATTTATCCACAAACTCCATTTCCTATTGTTAGAAGACTATCCCACCATCTACAGTCAGGTAACAGAGCATAGCCTGATAAAGAATCAGGACATTTATGTATTCAGAAAGTAAGCTTACTATTTTTCATTATGAGACTATTTTCTTTCAAACCTAAGGGCATAGAAAACAAGTTACTGTTTGAAAAGTTGACAACTTTGGCTCGATTAAGGTAGAAACAGCTACCTTCGAACATGTGAATGAATAATAAACTCTCTTCAGACTTAATACTGGAGGGCAGAGAAAGGAGGTTGGAAAACATATATTTATTATATGATACAAAGAAAGTAGTTTCGCAAAACGGAAAGCTATGAATAGGAATTATTTTTCCCATTTAAAGTTTTAAAGTGTTCTACATATTACACTATAATTTGGAATCTTCATCTTAGTAACTGTATTTTAAAATGACTATTTAGAAAATAAATCCATAAATGTTATTCATAAGTGCTACGGTTTGAATATGTCCCCCAAAGTTCATGTGTGGGGAACTTAATCCCCAAAGCAAAAGTGTTGAGAGGTGGGACCCTTAACTCGTGATTAGCTCATGTGGGCTCTGCCCTCAAGCATGAATTAATGTCCATTGTGAGCGACTGGATTTGGTACTATGAGAATGGATTTGTTATAAAAATGAGTTCAACCCCTTCTTGCTCTCTCTTTCTCTCTCATGCTCTTGTGTCCTTCTTTCCACCATAGGATGACACCACAAGATGGCCCTTAAAAGATGCAGGAGCCTCAACCCTGGGCTCCCCAGTCTTTAGAACCAAAAGCCAAATAAACCTCAACTTCTTATAAATCACTCTTTGTGATATTCTCTTACAGCAGCATAACAATACTAAGACAGAAAGGAAAAGCATTCCTGGATAGTATATTTACAGAGATGAAAATATGTCAATAAGTAAAAATTAATTTAAAAAACATTTTAATATAATATTTTGAAATAAGACAGCAGATTTAAATTTTGTCATTATAGTTACAACATGCCAATTAAAAGTTTATGTGTATTCTGTATTTTCTTGGTATACTTTAAATATGTTTCTTACAATAGAAACGCAGCAATATCTACCAGTGAGTAATTACCATATTCTGAATATTGTTCTAAGAGCTTTACATCTGTTATTTTGTCTAATTCATGCTGATGAATAAACTCATAGCTTAGAGAGGTCAAATGACACATCAGGAAAGCCCGTAGCAAAGTCAGGATTTATTATATTCTAGTAAAATGCTGGAAACAACTGGCATTTGCTTCCAGTGGCCAATTATTAAACTTTCAGAAATTTGGCCAACTTCATGTCAAATACAGCCATTATTAAAATTAAATTACATTTAATGTAAAATTAAAATTATATTTAAAACAAATAATGCATACTCCAACCTCATAACATTCTAACTGTTGACTATACTATACCATTACCCATGTTCCATAGCTATACATGACTATTGTACCTGTATGGTGGGAATGCTATATCTCAAATGTGTTCTGAAGTTACACAGATCTGCTCGCACAAATTAATTGTTTCAAAATTAAGTGTAGAGGATAAAGAGTTCAGAAATTGGCTGGCAACACGAACAATAGTCTAGGAAGAAAGTCCAAAGGAGGAAAACCTGAGGAGACAGAACTCAAAATAAACCAGTGCCAGAAACCAGGCAAGTGAAGTAATATATCCCAATGAAAAGCAAGAAACAATTTTACTGTTGATGACGTAACTAGTATAATATTTTTCTGATGTAAGATTGTCTGAAGAAGTTTTAAAGTGTTTATCCATTATATGACACAAAACATTTAGAAAGCAATAACCTATGGAAGGAATACAGTTAAAATGAAAACACATTCCTTCAGCAGCCCTTTCCACGTAATCAGCAGGTTTAGACAAGGAACAATGATGAGCTTAGGTCTGGGTGTTGGTGAACACTCTTCAGAACCTAGGTTTGGAGCTTAGAAGATAGGTCAACAGAATTAATAGGAAAGTCTGTGCTGACCTTTTACAGCAGAACAAAAGAAATGCCCCTTCTCATAATTTTCTTCCAACTATGGTTATAAGTAGGGAGCAAAAAAAGGTCAAGCCTATAGTTGAATATTTTCATAATGAATGAAAACTGAGAATGTGAGAACTTTTCTAACTCCAATTTTCCTTCCATATTTTCCCTATGAATAAAGTAGAAATAACAAATTAGAGAGAAAAATAAAGTCAGAAGCATTATACCTAAGCTAGATAAGACATACTAAAAAACAAATAAGCATTTTGAGTAAATATAAACATTCAGAAGGACATAATCCAAATTATTATTAAAATATAGTTGCAGATATAAACAGAAAGTCATTATTCTTGATTTTTTTTGAAATCTCAGAAAAACAGAAAATATCTGTGATCTTTTCCAAAATATTTGAGATGCTAAAGTTTCCAATTTACAAAATATGCCAGTGATAATTACAAATTAGAAGAGGTTGATCTTGATGTAATTATTAAGAAAAAATCTGCACATAATTTTTAATATTAGTATTGTTTAGACAACAGTAATTTACTGCAATAGTATTCATATATTAGTGTGGAAGAACATTGACCCTGGAGTCAGGGAGATGTGTTTTAATCTTAAACTGACCCTATGTGAATTCAAAATACAATTGCCTATTTAAATCTTACTTTCCTCAACTCTAAAATAAAGATTATGGTTATAAGTTAAGCTATATAATATGGAAGAGAAGATTAGAATAACTATTGTCTGTGAAACACCTGGTATGGTACTATAGTAAATAGAAGGATTAGCTTTTATTACTGACTTGTGGTTTATATATGTGTATATATGTGTGTGTCTGTGTCTGTGTGTGTGTTTCTTCTCATGGGCATAGGTTATGGTACAGATAACTATAAAGATGAATACCCAGGCCAGGTGTGGTGGCTTACACCTGTAATCCTAGTACTTTGGGAATCCGAATCAAGTGGATTGCCTGAGCTCAGGAGTTCCAGACCAGACTGGGCAGCACAGTGAAACTCTGTCTCTACTTAAATACAAAAAATTAGCTGGGCATGGCAGCATTTGCCTGTAGTCCCAGCTACTCAGGAGGCTGAGGCAGGAGAATTGCTTGCTTGAACCTGGGAGGCGGAGGTTATAGTGAGGTGAGATGGTGCAACTGCACTCCAGCCTGGGCAACAGAGTGAGACTCCATCTCAAAAAAAAAAAAAAAAAAGATGAATATACAGTATCTACAAATAATACATCATATTTATATGTGACATTTTAAAAATGACTTAACATTTTTAAAATCAATGCATTTTGATTTTATCCTCACATTGTCAAAATGTCTGTGTAGAGCTTATAAGTTCTATAAAAAATAATTGACGTGACAACTCAAATTGGAGGGAGTCATATAGGAGGTAAAATTGTGTATTGGAAAGTTTCCTGGACTTCAGGATGACCATTTTCCAATTCTACAGTTTGCAAAACTATTATTCATGGTAAATGATTTAACTCTCTGTGTTCCAATTTCTACACCATTGGAGCCAGATAATATTGCTTAATTCAAAGAGTTTTACAGAAGATAAATTTAGAGTCTTTATACAAAAACACTTTATGTACTCTGAAACTATTCAAATAAAATATATCATTTATCATGGCTTTATTATAAAATGTTTCAAGGAAATATAATCAATTCAGCCTTATTGAATAAAAAACTGGGCTATTATTGAATAAATAATCCATGTCAACTTGGTTTGATCTGTCCATGGGATTGTCCTCTTCGGCATATTTAATCAGTGACCTCATTGATGTCAAAAAAGGTATATCATAAAGAGTCTAGACAGCTGGATTCCAAAATTGATTTAAATTTTTCTCTAGAAAATTATAATACATTAGTTGAATAAAATTAAAATTCCGGAATTGGGTTAAAATGCCTAATGTGTCCTTTATGTCAGGAGAAATTAGGCCTCATTTTAATTTTCACAGGTTTATTTCCCTGAAATTTAATATGGCTTAATATCATAGTCCTAAATGCAAATACATGCTTAGGCTTTGTTTATATTATTATGGACATTTGGACATAATGTTTTCAGAAGTTCCTTGAGTTACCCAACAGGGGTGTAAATGGAGAAAGGTGAAATATATGAAATCTCTTTTTTTTTTTTTTTGGAGATGGAGTCTTGGTCTGTCGCCAGGCTGGAATGCAGTGGCTGATCTCAGCTCACTGCAACCTCTGTCTCTGGGGTTCAAGTAATTCTCCTGCCTCAGCCTCCTGAGTAGCTGGGACTACAGGTGTGCATCACTATCCCCGATTAATTATTTGTATTTTAGTAGAGACGGGATTTCACATGTTGGCCAGGATGGTCTTGATCTTCTGACCTTGTGATCTGCCTGCCTTGGCCTCCCAAAATGCTGGAATTACAGGTGGGAGCCACCATGCCCGGCTCTGTCATAATTTTTTAAGATGTGGAAGTGTCTCATATGAAGAAGAGAATTATTGAGAGTAACATGATTGTTCTCTTCAAAATCTCAAATGATGCTGTGAAGAATAAGACAAGAGTTGGGAATAAGAAGCAGAAATACAGATTTCATAATTTTCTTATTAAAGGGCTGTGAGATTAGCGAAGAAGCTGACTTTCTGTTTTGTTTTTTGTTTGTTTGTTTGTTTTTAATTTAGAGATACTTGAATTGCCAAAAATACCTCATGATCCTTTGTAAGTTAAATAATTTAATGTGAACTTCAAATACTGTTTTGAAGTGAGAATTTATATACTATCTCAGAATCTTTGCAAGGATCAGTGGCTGTTAAGCAAATGAAATGCTAGATTTAATATATGTATATTTGATTAACATTAACTTACTATCTTATAGAAAATAAAACAAGGATACTCACTGAAGGCCATAGAAAATATTTCATAAGAGAATAATTATTAATGAGAAATAAATAAAGGATATAAAGTGATTAGTGATTAACAAAAGCGTTATGCTTAAACTGAGGAGAAACTGGAAGCAGTTATGATAAACACCAATCAGAAATGCCTGTTGAGAAAGCAATGAAAGTTAGGGATAATAGAAAAGGACAATGAAAGGGGAAAGCCAAAAAAAAAAAAAAAAAGACGTATTTTTCTTCATCAAATATTAAAAATAAAATCAAAAATCTTCTTTCCAGAGTTATGCACACTGGAACACAGGAGCCATGGCTAAGTTGTAAGATTTCTGAGAACCTATTGCAGCTTCTAACCTGCTGGTTAGAGACCTCCTCGTGGATTCATCTTAGGACCTCTGTTCCACAATCATGGAGTCACAAGGTTTAACCAAGAATTTGTTACTAATGATAGATTAGAAACTTTAATTTGTGAATGATTTACTTTTCAAGTAATTTAGAATTTAGTATAGCTTTACGTTTATACCTATCACTAATTTGCTTGAGAATAAAAGGTAAACTGAAAATAGTCTAGTAGAAATTGCAAATAACCTGCAATTATTTTTACTAGGTGCCGTCCATGACAGTGTCTTGCAAATGTGAATGCCTGGCAAAGGTGGGAAAACAACTGAGAAACACTGGCAGGCGCCATTCATTTCTTGGGGTACTCATGCGATGGGTGCATTTTAGACACAAGACAACAGTGACAATTATTTATAAATGCAAATAATGCCATCATCATTCCAGACATTTGTGTGGTTATGTTGAGGAATTGTCTATTTTTTTCTAGATAAAAGAAATATCCTAAACACAGAGTAAACTATCAGCACTTTAACATTTTCTTCCAGACTTTTGCAGACATTCCCAAAATACAAAGATGGTGTCATAAAGCAATTAAACAGGATTCGGTTTGGAGATTGTTCCTTCTGTGTGTTTCAATAATCAAAATAATAATAATCATTGCCTGAATACTTTGGCTTTTGCTGCATTATTATATTCAAATTAATAAGCCATCCTAAAATTACTGATCTAGTATAATCACATATATTCATGCCAGACTAATTTAAATCATTTTTTCACATTCACTGTGGAAACTACATTGTTGTGATTGCATGGATTATTGTATTCTACTGAGTAAAGGAACATTATTTATTTCAGAAAAAAATATTTAAAAAAATGTAAAGCAAAAAGGACTCTTGAAGAGGCAAACTAACCAGGGGAAGACTTTCTTCTTTGTTCTAAATAGTACTTGAGTGGCTTTAAGAGTTCATTCATCTTTAAAAGATGACTAACCTTTTAGATTATCTGCGCTAGGAAACCCTGGCACAACGATTTTGGAATGAGCCAAGTTCTCAAAACACAATTACATGTTATTATTTTTTCCATCTTATGTTAGACCCATAATCAGATTGGAAATCTATAGTCAGTGATAATGGAGCACTGAGACAATTGTCCATATTATTCAAGCCAAAGAAACACTTTGATTTGAAATTCTGTTTCTAAATGATTGGGGCCAGAGTGCTCCTTTGGTTTGAGTGATTTGGATAATTGTTGCGCTTCTCCACTTCATCTTGCTAGTATAAATTGCCTAAAAGCAATGTGTGAGCTACCACATTCATTCAGTGCAGTGAAAATATGTACATATTTTGTGCCACATAAAGTTTGTAAATGTTTAAAGGAAAATAAAACTGAAAACTACTGAATGCATCATTTCCATATTTTCAATACCTCCTTTACAGAAAATAAATTACAGTATGCAGGCTCATACATGTTCACTAAATTGCATTTTAGTGTAGCTATTTATCATGAAAGTATTTCTGAAAATTAAACAATTCTTAAAAATTTGATCATTGCAAATGATTAGGAAAAAAAAGCAATACAAATATTCTAAATTAAACATGATTAAAAAAATAAACTCACTTAGTGTTCACAGTCACCAGAGTAAAATATTCATAAGTTTCAGAGCCAGAATACAGGAAGAAATATCTACCTACGTAATTGTCATGTTCCATGTTCAATGACTGAACTGTGTTTTTGTTGTTAGGTACTGTGATTGCTATGTACTAAATGGTAAGCAAAGTCAACTACACTTCCCAAAGTGGATCATTGTACTTGTTTTAGTTTCCCTTTGTAAAGCCTACGTTCTGATCTCTGCCACAAGCACTAAGGCAACCAATGCTGATGAATGACTAGAAACGCTTTCTTTATTCCAGTCCTCACTGAATAGAAAGTTTCCATTATCTCGTACAACATCTTCACTCTATCAATTTGACAGGGGCAGGCAGTTCCACACTTCACTGCTTTCACTTTGGAACAGTATTCTACTTATCTATCTGTTTCTATTTGAAAGAAAAATGAAAAATAATAAAGTCTGGAGAAAACGTCTTGTTTGCACACATATGAATGCCATCTTTCATTCTCCGTTTAATTGTTGTTCCATTTTACCTGGAACATAATCATTTAAAACAATGTGGCAGAATACAAATTCATATATGATAGAGACCAATTTCTAAAGTGTTAGGTAAAATAAGTATTACAAGTTAGAAAAAGAAGGCATTATCTTCCACACCCTTTTAGATTCTAATGGAAATGGTACATTTGTTTAGTTTTCAGGAATTGAACAGCATCTTAGCTTCCTCCCGTGGCTTTCTTCAGGCAACGTGGCAGCTTAGAAACTCACCCAATGTGCAAGTATTGGGAATGTGTGAGATTGTTTTCCTCCTCTTTTTGTATTTTCTATCTCTATGGAGCAGAAGAGCACGCTGGAAAAGGAGAGGTGTGAACTGGACTCTTTTTGGCAGACAGTCAGTAGCAGGCTTTTGAGAAGAAAAGCTGCCAAGGTAACAAGATGTCAGGAATAAACTTTTGAGAACAAAAAGTAAGGAAAACCATGAACATTGCCTGGGCATGAATTACCAGAATAGCCATTTACATTTTATTTTCTGCCAGAGCTCTTCTTCATGCTGCAAAGACAGCCTTCTAGTATGCATGTAACACTTTCTATGCAGGAGCAAGCTCCAGACTCAAAATATAT